GTTTGCAATATATTGACCAAATAGTGCATTTGACGTTATGTATTAAACTTTTTAAATATTTTTGCAACTTTGTACTGGTGAAAAGTGCAGTGTTGTACAGTAACTTCTACCATTTCAAACACTGCTGTCAATGGTTGGGCCTTTCTTAATTATTCCGTTGTCCATGGAGAGCTGTGACCTCCTTAAGAGTTTGAAAAAGTACATCTAAACCCTAAATGGATGATAATTACTTTGTTTAGCACTGTGTATGGCTTTTTTCTTTGTAAAATACTTTTACCTTTTCCCACTTTTCCCCTTTATTCATTAATATCCTTTTTCATCTCAGTGCTGCTGATCCCCAGCTTCTTTCAGGCAATTCCTGGCTGCATGCACTTATTCACTCATCGGCTGCACATCATTGCTTTGGCCTAGCTTTCTGATAATGTCAATGGCGGTCCATTGCTGTGCAGTTGGTGTGGGCACAGCCACTTGTAGTCTTTATCAGAGAAGCATGTGACTGGTTGGCAACACAGATGCACAATTTGGAGGCGGTTGTTGTCCCATAACAGGAAGTGCCTGACGAAGGAACTTCATGGCCAAATCATCAGGCATTCTTTTAAACAAGATCTACATGAAAATCAAAAATGTACCCTTGCAGTAGGGCTACCCCAGCATTGCAAGCATTAAGCACTTGTTTTGTCTAGGGAGCTCAAAGCAGATATACTCACCTGATTCTCAGTCCCGGGGTGGAAGCAGTCACTTCTCTCCGCTCTGGCTTTGGAATATCACTCGCATTCCTCATGTATAATGCAGGTCAATGGACTTGCATAAGATGTGATGACGTTATTGGTCCTTAGACCGCTTGAGCCCAGGGAAGAAGGAGCTAAGAGGACTGGTTTAGCAGCCCAGAGGGAGTCAGCGGGACCAAGTATCAGGTAAGTAAATCTGCTTTATTTGAGCCCCCAGACAAAATGGTAGGGGGCCCTGGGCAAGGGGGGGGGGGCACTGCAAGGGTAAGTTTTTGATTTTTCCTGGAGTTGTTCTTAAAAAAAACAAAATCTGCAAATTTAAAAAGCTTGAGACCAACGTTTGAAATTTCAAAACACATTTTAATGCCTACATGAGATTTTAGTATTTGGGTTTAGATCTACTTTAATTAGAGGATGGGGTTATACGCCACCCAACCAGGAGGACAGCCTTTATAAGATGGACCATTGCTGAAGACCTTTCTCTGGCATCAGTGGTCCTAGTGTTATCTAGGCTACTGCCAGTATAGCTCTCAAGTTCAAAGAAGGGTTGCCTTCAGGGGAACCCTGGCCATTCTAAGCTGTAGAAAGCTGTTTGTGTCCCAGAAATAGTGCGCATCACTACTCTTTGTACACTACGTATTGTATAAGTAGTGAGATCTCATTTTGTGTTATTTATTGAAAAGTTTACTTGAGAGTAATTTTTGGGATTTTATTTTCATTTTTACTTTCTTGTTGTTCTGTTTTATATTGTGATGATTCCGTTGTAGGTTGTGTATGTGTAGAGTGTTGTGTGTGTTCTCCTGATATGGATATTTGTGTGTCATATAGTAGTCAGTACCACTGCTGAATGACTGCTGTACAAGAAAAGTCACCTAAACATTGTATAGTTTTCATTTTGTCTGAACAGACTTATGGATTTGCATCAAAAAAGTGTAATGTAAAATGTAATCACCATGCAGCACAGTAGAGATTGTCCCCCTTTAACCCAGAACAAGCATGAAGCAAGTGAAATTGCAGCAAAGGCAGAATTCATGATCTTTGCTTTTTCCATGTCTTTGGGTAAAGGTATTGAAGTCATTAGATCAGCAAATAGACCTGGCAGCTAACATTTTCAAACTGAGAGTTCAATAATGCAGCTTCATACTTTGGCAGTGTTAGCAGGTATCGTTTAATTGACCTACTTTGATAACATGCATTTGTGGCATCAAAGGCACCTATTATTAGCCTTACAGGCAGTCCTAAATGACACGACCCTCAGCTTGGCATCAGACTTGGCTTTCAGATAGGGTGCAGAACCAGGATGTTTTTGACCACTTCTAAGATACAACTCCAGCCAAAACATTTTAATAATGGAAAACTAGATAGAGATGGGAAAGGGAAAGGGGTCCCCACACTTCCTGTCCCACTGACCTCCTATCACAGTAAAAGAAGTGAGTGACAATCATCAGCAATACAAATTTAGCAGAGGTTTTAAATAGTGATGAGCCTGGGCTTGGTGTAAACCCAGTTTGGCCAAGCCTTCTTAAAACTGTGACCGCCATCCCCTCCACCTGGCCCAACTAGTTGTGGAGAGGTGTATTTCCCAGCATGTAGTTATACTTCACAAAGCAGCAGGGAACGCCCCCGCTACAACTGCCACAACAGATTGGGCTGGGAGGAGGGGGTGGCGGCCAGAGTTATGAGCTTGGGCGAAATCATGCAAACTGGGTTTGCACCAAGCCCCAAGCCCAGGCTCATCACTAGTTCTAACATTTCCCCTGTCTATCCCAAGTAAAGTTGAACCGAGTTCCAGTTTCACTGGTCAGGCATAACATTATGACCACCTGCCTTATATAGAGAAGGTCCCCTTTTGGCACCAAAACAGCCCTAGCCCATCAAGGCATGGACTCCACTAGACCTCTGAAGGCATGCTGTGGTATCTGGCACCAAGCCGTCAGTAGCAGATCCTTTAAACCCTTTAAGGTGCTAGATGGGTCCTACATGCATCTGATTTTTTTCAGCACATCCCAAAGATGCTCAATTGGATTGAGATTTGGAGAACATGGAGGCCAAGTCTACACCTCACAATCATTGTTGTGTTCCTCAAACCATTCTTGAACCATTTTTGCAGTGTGTGCATTATCCTGCTGAAAATGGCCACTGCCATCAGGGAATACTGTTTCCATAACGACAGCAACATTTAGGTAGGTGGTAATTGTCGAAGTAACATCCCCATGAATGGCAGGACCCAAGGGTTCCCAGCAGAATATTGTCCAAAGCATCATATTGCCTTCTTCCCATAGTGCATCCTGGTACCATCTCATCTCCAGGTAAGCGACACACATGCACCTGGCCATCCACAGGATGTAAAAGAAAATAGTATTCAGACCAGGCCACCTTCTTCCATTGCTCCGTGGTCCAGTCTTGATGCTCACGTGCCCATTGTAGCCGGGTTTGGTGGTGGACACGGATTAGCATAGGCACCCTGACCGATCTCCGATCCAGTCATCTAGCTATCACAGTTTGGCTCTTGCAAAAGTCACTCAAATCCTTACTCTTGACCATTTTTTTCAACTTTAGGGACAAAATGTTCACTTGCTGCCTAATATATCCCACCCACTTCCAGGTGTCATTTTAATGAGATTGTCAATGTTATTCTCTTCACCTGTCAGTGGTCATAATGTTATGGCTGATCTGTGTACAAAAGGTAAGGAGAAACATGCAAAATTATTGCCAAAAATTTATCCTAATGTATTTTTACTAAGCAGTACAACAATAATAGCAGGGCCGTTGTTAGTCCCCTAAATGACCCAGAGCGCCCACTGCCTGCCCAACTAGAGAGAAATATTGCACAGTGACACAATAAACAGCATTCATGTGCTCTTCTCTATTCCCTCGCTCTTTTCATTTCTTTCTCTTACTATTTCCTCCCTTTTCTCTAGTATCTTAAAGCCGGACCCCAGGGTCAGGGTCAGTCTCCCCCCCTTAAGCATTCCTTCCCGCCACTGGATTTCCCCAGGCAGTACGTTATTCTTTTTTTATTTTTTATTACCTTGTTCCAGAGTCTTCAGTACAATCACACACACGGTCCTTTTTGAATCGTATCCTGGTGGTGAGCAGTCCACCATGATGCAGATGATGTCAGTCTCAAGCTCTGCATCGTTACATTATGAATGAAGTGCACAGTGGTGATGCCCACTAAGAGTGCAGACCCATGATGCCCATACTCACAGTTTATTCTCACTCTTGTTGGCTGAATAATACTGGGTGTCATTTATCCCAAAAAAACTGGGGACATCTTGTGTTGAAAAGGAATTACTGCAAGCGAGCTTCAGATTAATGGTGGGTATTGCAACCTGAGCTACTTTTTTATTGTAAGCACTTGCTAGCGGTCTATTTATTTCAAAAATGTTTTGTCTGGAACTGAGCTTTAAATATTTCTCATCCCTAGGTAGAGCGTCTTACCTAGGGGTTGATCTGTTTTTCTAGACTGCTTGGCCTATAGTACCAGACAGGAAGCTTTTAATACACTGTCTGCCAAACAATAGAGGTTAGACAGCATACAATGGTATCTTCAAGTTTGTCTTTTACATGAAATCACAGATTCTACCATTGCAGCTATGCATCCCTAGGGAGAAGCAGCCAGCACTGTCACCCTTCTTAGGTAGCAATTACAGGTCTGGATCCAATGCTCCACATGACAATGCCTTGGAACACCACTAAAAATATTTTATTTATGTACTTATCTCTTTACCATGTAACAAGCCTGCTCTGACAATAGTTTTTGCTTTTATTTGGGCCTATCTTGTTTTACGTTTTAATTTTCCTAATCTTTTAAGCATGCGTCATGTACTAACTTATTTCAATGCTAAGTAAAAGTGCATTTGTTGGCTTCATGGCATCTGTTTATAAAACCAGAGGAATGGAGATTTGAGATGTTGCTAATTGCAATTAGTCAGATTACTCCTGTGATTTTTATAGCATGATTCAAAACATGGAAGCGGACCATTGACTGGGTGCTACAGGCAGATCTCCAGATTTTACCTGCCTATACCTCGGTCATATCCGAAAAGTGATCCGAAAAGTACATCGGAACTGGGCTGCAGTCTTGTGGTCGTAGCCTGCAGAACGGCGCCCTCTGCTGTGCATAGACAACAATTGCACCATAATGTGAATTGTATCGTTTCTGGTCAATCTCTGCTTATTTTTTCCTTTGTGTTCTGCAGTTCAGCAAACCTTCCTTTGCGATCTATATTTTCTCATTTATTTATTCTTCCTTTTTCTTTTCTGTAGACACTGGAAGTAAAGATAACATCTATAGGAAACCCCCTATCTACAAACAGCATGGTACAGTCCCTTTCTGCTTGCCGCTACGCCTTTCTTTTGCATGAAGATCAAATACTAAAACCTTTTACTGACATTTTATGAATCCACGTGACAGACTACCACAATCATAATGCAATATGTCTAAAAATTCTCATTACACACTTTTCAAACTATCTTAGTGGCTGTGAATACTTACCCATTTATCATTTACATTTGTATTCTGACAGCATAGTTCAATTAGATATGAAACACATGGAAGATAGGTAGAACATTATATACAGTAAAAGATGATGGAATGAGAAAGAGAGAAAATGAAAGCCAAGAGGGTGACAAGTCTATGTTGCCTCTGTACAGAATAGACAGCTGCAGATATGACTTCTTCGAATTGCTGGTCTACGTTTATATTAAATCAGTTGCCTATTACATTTACTGGATTGTTTTGTGATTAAAGCCCTTTGATGGTTTTGCTTTCTATACTTGGAGAAAGGTGCATAATATCATTGTCTTGGTATATGAGAGAAAGTGTCTCTCCTGTAAAATGACATCTGAAGGTGAGTTTCTTTAAATGTGTTTTCAGCTTTCAGGTATAAATTAGGGAACTCATTAGGAGAGGACCTTGGCTGAGTGGTGCAGTTCATGTTGGATGCTTGGTGGTTAACTGTTTCAGAACTGCTAGTATATTTGGTCCTTTAAGATATGTTTACCATGAGTTCACATGTATTTACAATGATCATTGACATATATACACTGAGTGGCCAGATTATTATGACCACCCCATCAGTACTTCGTTGGGCCACAAGATGACTCCACGAGATGACTTTGTTGGGCCGCCTCGTGACTCCACGAGATGTTGAAAGGTGATGCGAGGAATCTGACACGGCACTGTTGCTCTTCTGTTGTCTTGTACCAGTCTTGCCACTCTCCGTTCTACCCTAACATTGACTAGTCGCGGATGGCCACAATTCGCACGTTCAGACCCAGATTTTCGGCTGGCAGTCCAGTCTTTGAACACTTTAACAATGAGCCCCTCTTGAACATTTAACAAATTCTGCTGTTTTGCTGATACTCGCTCCATGGCTCGCGCCAACAATCATCCCACGTTCAAAGGCTGTTAAATCGCGTTGTTTCCCCGTATCTTCAGAAACAAATCTCTTCTACTGTTGTGGTAAACAATCTGCTTCCCTATTTATAATGGTCTGGCCCTCTAGCAACTTCAGCCCGAAATTATAGCTAATTTGTCTACAATCGTCAGGTGGTCATAATAAACTGGCCACTCAGTGTATATATATGGCAAAAGAAACAAAGCACAAAGTGATCTCTAAGCTGACCACCCTCCCACCACTACCCCCAGGTGCTTACCCACCTCCTCCGATGTGTTCAGCCCCCTGTACTTTAAGGTGTCCTCTTCCGCCCTTCCTGTCCCTTCTAAGCTAAACTACACTAGAAACCCCACACTCAGCTGTTTCCTTCCTGGTCAAAACCTTCTTCAGGGCTAGCTGGATCTGCATTATGAGCATCTACAGACTTAAATAGGGCCATACACCAAGTGTCTCCCAGTCCCAGAATACTGACCCATATGAGTCTGTGTGGGCTCATTGCACAGATGCGGCAAGTGCTGAAGAACTCCATCAGGAAGCGATAAACAGCAGAGGAGGCCGCCGGTTGTCCAGGAAGTTGAACTAGAGTACTGTTTACTAAAACTGAACTTGTTCTTAACTGGATTTTATAAGCCCATGAACACCAGAACTGTATCTGATGACTTGGAGCTGCCTGGCATTTCCTGCTGTTCTTGATTTGGAAATACACTGATGAAAAAAAGAATCCTCTGGGAGCTTCTGGGCTCAAAACATTTGATCTGAGGTGGAGCCTTTGTTGCCCTATCAGGTTAAAGGAAATGTACACTTGAAGGGCAATATGTTAGGACATTAAGATGGGAGCTACCATTGCTGAGATTTTTGAAGGTACCAACCCCAGGCCTATCATCTGATCCTAGGTTCACTGCTAAGCTGTCACTGACCCAAAAGCAGTATTTTTATATTTCAGGCCAGTGGCTGAGGCTATACCTTCAAATGCAAGTCGGCAATGGCTGCTCACATATTTCTGTCCTGAAGGGTTGATTCCTTAAAACCATTTTTATTCTTAAAGGAGAACTATGGGGTTAAGGCTTTTCCCCATAGTTCTCCTTAGGGTAACGGGAGGACACAAACTAGCGTCCTCCCGTCACCCTAGGCTCAGTATACCGCGAGCTGTAGCTCGCGGTATACTGAGACACTGAAGCGGATCCCGACAATTGTACCGGGATCCGCCCAGCTGTGTGACTGACAGCTGGCTCTGCCTATCTACAGGCAGAGCCAGCTGTACCCGCCCCCTCCCGTCCGTTCCGCCAGTCAGCGCTGGCGGAGCAGGGAGGGGGGAATCCAGATCGAGAGGTGAGCGAACGCCGGTATGTGTTCGCTCACCTCCCGATCTACTGAGCCGACCTGTGACAGTCTCATTGTCACATGTCGGCTAGAACTATGAGGTGAGTGAAAAGCACTCATCTCATAGTTCTCCTTTAAATGTTACTGAATGGCCAGTATGCAGCATGTTAGTGAAGGATTCCAATCAGTCCAATAATTCCAATCCTCCCATTTTCGACCTTCTGGAAAGGCTAGTGCCTAACTAACTATTAATTAAAATGTACCTTATTTGTGTATCACTCGGCTGTAAATCTTCAAATCATCTCTGAATTGGTGCTGACACTGTCCTTCCTTCTGGAGGGTGGCTACTTTTGTTCTCCATGGTCCCAGTGTGTGTTGTAAATTAAGCCACCCTTTCAAGCTCACTCCTGTGATGGACTACAATCTGAATACAAATTAGTAAATCAAATGCGAGACTGTAGTCCATCACAGGAGTGAGCTTGGAGCGCCGGCTACTTTACAACGCACACAGGGACCATGGGGAACTAAAGAAGCCACCCTCTGGAAGGAAGGACAGTGTCGGCGCCAATTCAGAGATGATTTGAGGATCTACAGTCGAGTGATACACAAATAAGATACATTTTTGTTAATATTTAAGGTTATTTTTTAAGGTTTAACTGCTGAGCTTAGTGTCACTTTTAGTCCTCATGCACATAAATGCCATGCGTGCCAGGGCAGTACCCTGCTGCTTTCAGACTGTGCACCCTGGCACTGGCTCATCAAACTGAAAAGCACTTTCACCCCGCTTTTGTTAAAATGAACATAGACCACAGTCATTAGTCCTTGCTGATGCTACATTGCCTGTTCAGTCACAATGCTTACCCAAGTCAGTCCTTTTACCTTCAAACACTTGACCCAGATTCACTAGGCCTGATTTGCTATTGAATATGCACGTTTGCAGGCGAAGTGATGTGTCCATAAACCAGCCATAAAACCCTATTGAATGCTTCCAGCATTTACTACATACATAAGATGTTAATGAAGATGTGCAACCATGATAACAGCTAATTCATTAACAAAGGTGGTTCCATAAGCAGCACACTACCCAGCTTCTGAATGTAGAGCTATGTGCTGACTTAGAATAAAAATAAGATTTCCTTTACTGCTTTTCTGGTTATCGTACATCTGTTAGCTATTTTGTATTTATACGCCATGTAGGAACAATACAGAATGATAAGCTCACCTATATCACTAAAGTTGATTGTGAAAACCCACTGAAGCACTTTCCTGATTTAATACACTGCTAATTCCAAATGCGTGTTGTAATGATAAACACACGTACTTACAATTACATACATGTACCGTCAGTATGGCATTCTGTTTTTTTAGAGCTGCTCCTTTGTTTAGCGCATGTGCTTTTTATACTTTAGTGAGCCATCATGGTGCTTTTGCAGTTTTTTTAATGTAATAATCTTAAAAAACTCTGAAACATGTCTGCATAGGACGCACCCAAACATAATTTTTTGCATGTTCTATGCATACTGCAAACAGGGACTGTGACAAATGCACTAAAGAAGAGTGAATGCTTTACTAGATCAGTTGGCGAATGCATTAGCCGAGTGCACAAAGGTCCGTGCACTCAAACCTTCAAGAGATGTATGCCATTTCTCTACGTAGTGATTTCTTCCTCTTGTGCGTTTCCTTGTAGTAAATCAGACCCATTGAGCTTTTTACAAATGTTAAGTGTCTTCAACCTGGTCTCACATATTCTGGTTTCTTTATGGAGATTATCGAAGCAGCAGTTTTCCAGAGGACAGAAATGCTGATGTTACGTGGGTGTTTGCCAGTAAAAGCTGTTTTTCGTTATCTCGTTAAGTGTAGAACAACACGATACTCATGAATCATCAGCCCACCTAATTGGGAACAATGTGAGAATCACAGACTGAGTCATTCGCTCTTCTCCAGATACACCTATGTCATTTGCAGCACCATCTTCCAGTGAATGTTCTTATGTGACCTTGGCTGGTTCAAACCAAGGGCAAGCACAAGAAAAACTGGCTTATTCAGTAGTGCTAAGAGCAGTGATAATGCTCAGTAAGGCATGCTATAGCATTCAATCAAATTTCCTGCAGTCAGTCCAGTAAAGGAATTCTGTAAGTTATTGCACTTTGCACTTCTTGTCTTACCGAAAAATATTTAGGGACAAATGGAGCGATGGTTCATTTACACCAATGATTTCATAGGCGTGCGCAGCCTATTGCATTAGGGTATGCACACAGAAGTACAAACGCGTATATAT